ATAAATCATTATTGTTTTGAAATTTAAAACTTATTCAAATCTTATGTAACTTTTACGCGTTTTTTACCAAGACAATTTGTTCAAAAATCAAAAAAACAAAAACAAAAAAACCATAAAGACCATTGTCAATAGAGAGCATCGGATCGTACAATTATCGACAATTGTTTCGATGATTATATTTTTGCAAATCTTTACAATTAGCCGCATTAATCATAATCGTATTCTCAACGACAGGAGTGACAGAATATCTTGTCTCGTACGAATTTTAAGTCACTTTCGCAAATTATTACCTCTATACGCACTTTTTCTTAATTTAAAGAGACGGAAGACTAATTTCAACAACTCTTTCCTCGTAAATACAACATTCTATCGAGGCACGACGATCTATTACATTGATGCAATATCAACTAAAGTGCCTGTTTATGCTGAAAAAAGTTTTTAATATTAAAATTTCTAGGAGACTATTACGTCTGTCGATCGACTTTTCCTTCATGAATTCTCAAGCATTTCCCCACCGTAGCTCTTCGTCTCTATTATCGTTGGATAAACCTAATATTTAAGTCTCGTGAAATGATCCGAGCGTTAATCAATCCATCATCGAAAGTACGTCTTACAACACCAGGCACATGACAATTGGACCCTTGCGATGATTACTTATTCCACAGGAACAAGGTTAGATGGAAGGCGCGGTTAATTCAAGTTGAAGGGAGACGAAAAGAGGGCCAAGTAGTGGTGGTGGTGGCGGTGGTGGTGGCGGTGGCGGTGGCGGTGATGGTGGTGGGGGGGGGGGCCGATGTCTCTTCCAACTATCGTCCCGGCTATCTCTCTTCTCGGGATTTCAGGACTCGCGCGGGGCAATTAAAGCGTCCTGGCGGGTCGCGCATCGATATTCCGAAGATTCCGTTGCCACTGCTCGCTCAGCCTCGGCCACACGGATATTAGACACTGGACAAGACGCTGCCCCCATGCCTCCTGACCTTTATCTCTTAATTAATGCAAGCGTCTTTTATCCCGACTCATTTCTTTTCGCGGACCTCCTCTCGAGACCCCTTTGTTCCTTAACTTTTCGCGCTCGCGTATTGCTCCGTCGGTAAGTAATGAATAGGCGGTGATAAGGGCCGCGTACACAATACCCGCGGGCAAACGTTTATAGAGGCCGGGCACACTCGCTCAATGCTGCGCGAATCTGCGAAAACGTCGAGATGTGGGGCTGTTGCGGACGTGTCGTGTAAGATTGATTTTCTATGGTAACTCTAAGTAATTAATTTAGTTTAGTCAGGACAATGCTCATGCTTGCCGAGGTATTTAAAACTTCCTGCGAGAATATTTATAACCGCCCGCGCGCGACAATACAATTGCAATGAATTTGTATATTCATAAGTTTTCGCACCCGATTTCCTTCCCAAGCGATTCCATGCGCTCGATATCCGTGTAATTTATTGAATGTGCGCGACTTTTATCCGACTATTCCAAGAGTCCATTGACTAATCATGAAAGATTTGCTATACTGGCGTCTCTAATTAATTGTCATTAATAAGAATTATTATTTACGAGCGCAGTTTGGAAAATGTTTTGCCGCACTGTCGAAATGACAAATTGACAATTAGCAAGCACACATTCTTTAATGTTATCGATGTCTTTTAAAGGAACTAAGCTAATGTCACGTTGTTTATTGTTAATTTTAAGAAGAAAAACTATTTTCAGCCATTCCCTTTTATCATACGTATTATCAATGACATTTTACTTAATGCAATATTAGATACAATAAAAAGTCGCATATTCTCATACTTAATTATTTTAAATATAAGATTAAGCTGGGATGGTTTTAAATAGCAGAAGGCAAATATTCGTTTGCGCGATCTAGTCAGGGGACAATAAAAATAAAATTTCAAATTCACGACCATCGTTAAAAAGTAAGAAAAAATAGGTCTAGCATAGAATAACGAATAATATAAGTCGGCAAACAGTATATAAAAGTATTATTATTATTGTAATTAATATCTTGCATAAATAAGATTTCGAATTTTTTGGAAAAAGTACTTAATAAACATGTAATGGCGAGGCTAATCGATGCGAATGATTTTATTATAAAATGATTCTAAAATTCTATTAGCCGAACAATCGACGTTTATTTATTTATACGAATTTTAGGTGAGATTAGATGGGACCACTAGATGTAAATGGTCTGGTTTCTATTTCTGATACAACGCACTATTGGCACGAAAATCTTTAATCGAAAGTTTAAATCCCATTTGCTAATCATGTAATGTTTTAAAAATAGTATGCATAGGCATAGATAGGCATGAGGCAGCTCGTCTATTCTTCGTTTTAATGGTAAGAAAGGAAATAATAGATCAAGGTCGGCCCTCGGATCGTGACAATGATATTGGGCGCAGGTAGCTGGAGCAACGTTGTACAAAAATTCACATCTCAAGTCGTCCGAGGTCAAATTTAGCGGCCCAATGACAAAATATCTGGAGGAAAAAAAAAAGAGAATGAGGGAAATATGAAGATGACTGTTATAGTTCGAGTAGCAGTCTTAAATCCTGTAAAATTAGCGAAGCAGAGAAAGATCGGGCCAGGAAACCTAAAGCCAGCGATCTAGTGACCGAGCGTGTGTG